ATTATGATATTTAGATATTTAGACAATTCTCATAATTTTTGCAAAAGGCTGTATATATATATATATATATATATATACACACCAGCACACTTCATCTGTATGGTTAGTTTTAGTCCACATTGCACAATTTGTAAGCGTAAACGTTGTATGTTCCATATATTCAACATTGTCGACATAAAGAACGATTTTTATTTTTCATCTAAAAGATTATTGCGTTATATAATTATAAATTTAAAGTTGATAAAACTCGCCTACCTTGCACTTGAAAGCTTTCAAAACAACTTCCAATGTCTAGTTCAAAATACTGACATACCAGCTCCTACTTCCCCTTCGTATCATAAACCTATAATCCTCTTTGATTGACAGTTGATCGATTACAAGCCCCTATACAATTGAAATATCCATTTGCATTAATCCCTTCTTATTTCACTAGAAATCTATATTGAAAACATGAATAAAACCTTAATCTTTCTATTGACTAAAGGAGTTCACAAGTCTTCTTCATCCCRTCAAAATCTAATCTTTTCCTTTGTTTACCTCGTTGAAGTTTACTCTTTGGTCTGCCAATTCTCTAGCCATTTATAACAGTCCTTTGTGTTTTGACATGCTGATATATCTAAGATATGATTAAACCTGTACTACGTGCTAGTGCTACGTGCTAGTGTTCAAACATCCATAATAATCATTACAAACAACAGAAAAGACGTCCATACTAGCAAAAACATACATATATATCAGTATATATCATGGGCGTATCCAGGATTTTCATGGGGGGGGGGGGGGTCCTTACATACGAAATTGTCACTGTGACGTCATTCGACGTCAATATGATGTCGTATAAATCTATGGTTTTCACGCTTTTTGTTTTTGTTTCAAGATAAGTCCATTTTTTGGCTTGAAATTTTCAATTGCAAATGGGGGATATAATGAATTCTTCGATTTACATGTTTGATATGCCGTTTTGTTGCTTTTTATTAGTTCTTTACGACTACGTCTTTTAATGTTGTACACATAAAGTATTTTAAGAGTTATTTGATGAAACAGGTCACGTGACCTAATTTGCATATTGGTTTTCCCTTTATATCTTCATTCACAATAGCGATGGACGGGATTAAAAGACGTGATTATATAATTATTTAGTATATCTAATATCTATGTAAGTTTCAGGTCGATTGATGAACATTCTATGTCCCCCATTTTCAAAAAACCGTTTTTGAGCCTTAAATGTCACATCCCCCATAAAAGTTTCACTACAATTGCTTGAAAACCCTTTGTGTTATAACACGATAAAGTACAGCCTCGTTTCAATGCTTAGCCAGGCCTTAACATGCCTGAGTAAACATCGGCTCTATTTAGTCTGCATTTTCAATAAGCAAGGTAAGTTAGCAAATGAAATTTTGTAGGTTAAACAGGTCAACCATAGTCCGATATGTTCATNCAATATGATGTCATATAAATCTATGGTTTTCACGCTTTTTGGACTTTGAAAGGGGGGGGGGGGTCAAGGGCACCCCCCCCCCCCCCCCCCCCCCCCCCTGGATACGTCGCTGTGAATTGTAGGTTATCAGAGTGTTCTAATGACATTTTTGCAGTTCTTAATTCAGTTAAAAGTTAGTAACCTACGTACAAATAAAAGCTCCAAAAGCAAGAACTAACACTCGATATGTCATATATCAATTAGACATGTTGTCAGTTCTTCTTGAAATTTGCTTGTAAGACATCTACAACAGTCCATCAAGACAAATCGCCTTTTGTCGAATGTCAGGCAAATGGTTGTCACTGTGTAAAGAACTAGAAAGCTAGCAGTCTTTTAAGAGTACCCTACTATAAAAAATATTTAAATAACTATCTACCTATACCAAAGAAGGTGCATGTATCTTCTGAATCCCATCCCTTACGTGGTGCGACAAACAAAAGGACTGACTTCGTGCAAATAGGTACTTTTCCCGTCGCTAACAGATATCAAGGATTTCTCTCCAGTAATCGGTGACGAATATTTGGTGAGGGTCCATTGTGTCTCGCATGACCAACCAGTCGTTCAGACGTGGGTAGACTTTCATTAGGTATTTCGAGTTGAAGATCACTGACCCACACTCCTGGTTTGGAGAAGGAAGATATTTACCCCAGTGAAGACGAGCACCAGGAATTTCCAGGAGCGCATCCCAGAAGAAGGTAAAATATTCTCGACAATCACCTCTGTTGTTCGACCACCAATATGGATCTACTCTTACCATGGGACCACCATAGGACATGCTTAGCCAAAACGGGGATTCTTTTGCAGCGTAGATTTCGGTGGCGAAATTACCAGCGGCTTTCCTGTTGTTTTCGAACAGCTTACTGAGTTTATCCATCACTGTTTGGCAATATTGGATGGGTATCCAAATTTCGGTGAGGTCAACCCTCATAATAGAGTCGACGGGAACCTTATCATCCATGGGGAGGGCATTGTAGAATACATCACAAAATGGCGTGGTCGTGATTGGAATAAATTGCTTTAGGCCATTACCTACGACCTCGAAAAGCCCTTCATCTGGATCATCCATGTTGAGAATATAATCATAGATGGACAAGATGATTGCCGCCATACCCGCTGCCAATTCAATGGATAAAACGTTACGATATGGAACAATTTCTTTGCAGGGAGCTACTTGCCTGCCTGACCACTCCTGAACACGGTTAACCTCCTTCTGTGGAAGCCAATTGATGCGGTAGTACTCGTGCTTCTTGAGGTTTTTTATCAACTTGCTCTTGCCTATTTCATCCGGTCTTAGAGGAGGATCTGCAAATTTATAACCAGTTTCGTTTCCTTTGATTAGTTTGGCTTCTGGGAATCGGAATGTCACGTGGGTTATTATACCCAACATTCCCATGGATACGCCAATGGCACACCACAAATCAGTGTTTGGTCTTGCTATTTGTAATTCTCCATTACCATCTACAAACTCGATTTCTCGAATCACATCTGAAATTCCATGCTCTAGACTTCCTCCGGCCGATCCTGTTTGCATGAAGCCACCAACGGTTTGGTGAATAATACCTCCCAGTATAGGAAAGCAGTATCCTCGTTCTGATATATAGTAGCATACGGAGTTCTCCCAGGTTGAGCTTTYGTCCACAGGGTCCTTTCCAAGGTTACACCCTGCGCCGATTCGGCAATATAGGTATTTTTTGCCATCTAATTCTTCGACTTCTTCAACTTTATCAATCTTCCGTAAATCTCCKTTTAGGACCAAGGTCTTGCCGTTCTCTGGAAATATAGCGTCATCGACAGAGTGGCATGATCCAGCAACTCGTAGAAGGGTTTGATTTTTTATCGCTTCCTTGACTTCTTGTTTTACCTGCTCTACCGTTTCAACTGTGTATGTTCGCGTAGTACGCTTTGAAGCTCCACCTTCGTCCGCGTCCTCTTTCATGAATCGGACCAGCAGGTCGTCCACTATATTTTCTTGCATCGTTCCACCTTCAACTTTCAAAAAAGGGGCGATCATTTTATGGAAGGTGAACACCTTCAACACATCWTTTTCTGCTATAAACAAAGGAAACACAATCTGATTAAACTACCCTTCGTACCCTCACCAATAACGTACCCCCCTTCCCAGACCCGGGGCCCAAGGATACTTAATTTCTATCGAAGTTCGATATATCAGTTCTTTGCTTCATTTCTTAATGGTGCATCCCCACATGCCTGACTAATACCCTGGACCCGCCCATACATTGCAGTTATTTATTAGTGAAGACTGGGGATCAACTGCCTTTAAACTTGTTCCCAGTTCTCTCTCTTTATTTAATTTAATTAAATAGAAAATTAGAATTAAATTTTAAAAAATAAATTAATTTAATTAGAATTTGAATTGTCCACAGTTCTATTCAAATCAAAAATGCGCTCGTAACGTAAACTCAACGTTTTTTAAAACAAACTGTACAAGCTGTAAATCAAAACCTCAGATATGATGATCATATCACATGTCGACGAACTCAGTTTTAAACCTCAATGACAAAGTAGACTTAATATTTTTTTGATGGGAAATCAATGCAGAAACATTCCTAAAAAGTGTGTGCCAAAAACATGACCCCTTTGAACTCTCCRTCTCAATAAAAAACAAAAAGAATCCCCGGATAAAACGGAAATCGATTTTTTCATTTTCAATTTCGAAAGGAATAGGTAGGTATGTCATCCCTGGAAGCCCAGTACATTGCCAGTAGTAACATTTTCCCCTGGAATAGAGCTTTACTTGACACTTCGAACTTGTGTTTTTTTTCTGATCAGACTTCGGAAGGGAGCTTATGGCCGGCTACTACTGTTTCCGGAAGCCAGGGCTACAGGGGTCTGTATTCTTCGTAAACTACCAAGAGAAAAGTTATATCTTCGAAAAATACACTAGACACTAATATAAATTAAACCTCATTCGAAGGTTTTTTTTGGTTTTCTTTTGGTTGGTAATACTGCCTTCTCAGTGTGGTACCGGAAGGAATAATTTACATAAGGGAATTTTCCGCTTCAAGTTCTCAGAAAAACCGGAAACACTGAAGCTTCGAGGTCGGGATGCTTGCAAGCATTTTTGCTAAGAGTAATCGAGAAATTAAKAATAAATTCAAATGATCATGAAATCAATCCAAATAACTGCACTTTACCAAGTTTAATTGGAAGCGCGCGAAATTCGTACCATTATCGGAACATAAATAARACATGAACTGAAGAAATCCGAAACATGTTTTGTACGCTAGACTAAATCCATTCCGCRTGATTATTTAGTGTCTAGATCTTTGATCATAGATGATCGAGTTGTTTTTGAGTGATCTATCTCAATGGATGACATTACCGTGAAGATGCGAACTTATTCYTACAGCAATGTTGCAAAATGCAATGAAAACTCAGAAGAATAATGTCAGACGTGTGGTCTAGTATAAGTTGCATATATTAAGTTGCAGCTGCCTAATTCAATATCCATTTACTGGCAATAGACTACCTTGAAACAGCCGGGCAAGGAAATCTAAATCGATCTAAGGCTAAAACTAAACAAAAAGATACCTGAATGCGCCATGATTTCAAGTACAACCAGTGACTTCTTTGATAGTCAGCAAATGAAACTTAGAACAACACACCCAGTTTCACAGGAGGTTTCGCGAGGAGACTGGTACCAAGGTGTCGGAAATTGGAGAAGCAACAGTTTGGAATTATAGATGACTATAAACTCGTGTAGGAATGATATATAAATTATTGGAACATCTGCTAATTTATGCAAGGAGGGGGGCGGTCTTTAGACGGGGCTGTACATTTTTAAAACAGACTGTAAATGGAGGGTACATTTTTTCTTCAKTAATATAATGGGAGTACAATTCTTGGAGATGGACTTCATTTAATGAAATTCAATATATTCCAGGTAAGATATTTATCATGTATCTGAATACRCTTAAAAAAAAAGTTGTGTACGATTCTGATAAGCTCAGTTTCTCTTTGCATAAAAATTGTTTTTGAAATCCCTTTTTGCAGTTTTGCGCATTGATTTAATGAATGCACTCTATCTGCATGGTATGAGTCCAGATTTATCCCCGACCACTACAATCTCTCATCATCTAAAAACGTACTTTATTCCATCAAAGACACCTCTCACAGTTTGATGTACATGACTAAAACGTCTTAAAATACAAGGATCTTTTAGTATCTACATTGACAGCAACTTCTGATCTCTTGGGTGTAAGGAACCCATATTTGTTTAAACGCCTTATAGTAGTGTCCAGAAGGAGGGTTTACAGGGGTGTATTTATCTGTTCGCTTCAACAAGTCGATTGTCGTTGTGCCTTGTATACAGGTACCCAGAGGAAAGTTTCTATACCAGCATCTGTTACCTCCATCGGAAGGGGAACCATTAGCCGTTTCGCAAGTGAGCTCGTTAACGTAACGTGGAAAACGGTCGATGTCAAGCTCTGAACTTCTCTGGCAGATGTCACACATTTGTTTTAGTTTCCGTCTACCTAYGGCTTGTCCTTTAGAGATGCAACCAACCTTGGTGGAGTCCACGATTCCAAAAGGATGATGGGATCGTTTGATCTTCCTACCTTTTATCCCAGGATTGATTCGATTTGTTGTCTTAATGAGGCGTTTATTAAAGGTTGGGTGGCCTAAACCTTGCGTTGTAGCGGCCCCGTCCCACGGGAGGAGGTTCTTAAAATTCGTATCCACTTCCTGCTGTGTCCTAGCAACGTAGTGCTTGTTGTAACCCCCCACACTTTTCAACTGCTCTGTCAGGTCTTCGTCAGATGGTACTATACAAAGAACTGTCCCCTGGGGGGTGATAATGGTAGTGTTTTCGTAAATTTCGTGACACGGATTTCCATGGGGATCTTGAATGGAGCCTGTTCCATATGTAGTAGCCTGATGCATCGTCATGGTAACGAGTATAAACGTTAAAAATGTATTCATTCCTTCATCCTGTTTAACGAAAATTATTATTATTATTATATAGCTAATCAATAGATTCGAAACGAATCGATACAACGCTTATCATATCTTAAAGTATACAATTATTTCATGGAATCTTGTTAGTTGTGCTATGATTAGACCGATGATTAGGTCGAGTCGACAACGAGTTGATAGTCCGTGAAGCCGTACTTGGCCGAATGCTATAAACTCGTAGTCCACTCTAGCTCGATGTCTAATTGTTAAATAACCGTTCTAGTTATTATAGATGTATCACGAGTTTAAAGCATTTTTTCCCTCGGATCTGAAAAGAAATGATATTTGAGATCTGCTATAGTCTGATTTTAGAAGAAGAAAATTATTACTAACAACTCTTTCATCTCGTCTGCATGACAAGATGGTTTGGCTATCCAAATAATCCCCCAATGGTTTAGACATATAATTGCCAATTTGATCACTCTTTGTAAATACAGCCGTTTCATCGGTGTACTAACAGTGAATGTGTTAGCCGTTTCAGTGCGTAAATTATACACCGAATATTATCAGCACAATACCGTAGGTGTGGTTATATAGATTATTTGTTCCGCATAGATCCGGCGCGCGCAGTAACAATGAGATCTTTGAAATAGGTACTTTTGAGAAATCACGTCTATTATTCATTATCCTGATACTTTTTGAAGTTCAATTCACATTAAAACTTTTAGTATATTGTTAATTAACTTGTCAGTTACGGGTCCAGGGGTAGAAAATGGGGTCAGCCTCACCCGTTTTAATTTAACTAAATGAAACAAGTTTTATAATCTGTATTCAAACGGACAGCACTCGTATAATAAAGGCAAAGAAGTGGAAAATTTGGAATGTTTTTTAAAATCCTAGATCTGCCACTGTAGTAGAACTGAAATGACAAAAAAACCATGTACATGTAAAAGTTGTTGTAAATTTTTAGTAAACTGTTTTGTAACACTATTTTTTAACGATTTTGCTTATGTGTGACTTAGTGACTTACTGACCGTTTCTAGACGACGGAATTCAGGTTTAGAGTTGATAAAATTAATACTCTTCGTTATCTTAAGGCGTCCCCCTAAAGCTTCGATATCAATAAAACTTCATTTTTTCCAATTTCAATGCAAGTAATCAGCGATTTATCACTAAAAACCGTCTCTYTAACATTTTACGTTAGCATCAAAGCCAGTTGCTATGTACACTTTTAGAATTTTATTGCTAAACAAGCTGCTGACGGAGATATAATCACATCAATTAACGTGGAAATATTCCATACATTATCTAAAAACTTACCATTTTCAAGTAAAAGCTTGATGAGACTGGATGATCCCGGCCGTGTAACACTGATCGGACTAATAATGGACGCTAAGTCCAGATTATGTTCTCCTAAAAGGAGTAATGACAACGCGTACAATGTTTGTTTTTTATATTTCCCAGGATAAACAACTCGCCACTCATTTTATTAACCTCCTCCRCATCCGGCTTTGGGATTCCGGCGACTTCGTTCCCAGGACTTCTCTGTTCTCTTTTTCAAAAGTGTAAAAGGCCCTGGGGAAAGAGGTTGAAATGTCACATTTTTGGGTTGCCTGTGCTCTTAMATGGCAGGGTAAGGGGGGACTGGGCATATAAACATCACATGATTTATAGAACTTCGACATTTCAAAGATGGCGAAGTTTGTGGTGTTGTTTAGCTTCTTTGCTGTCGCTTTTGCGTCTTCAAACCTACTTGGAGGCGTAGAAAAAGTAGATAAAAAAGATCCTGAGCTGCTAAAAGCACTGGAATACGCCATGGATTTGTATAATGCTCGCTCGAACAATCTCTATCGTGAAATGGCTACAAAAGTTATTGAAGCGACAAAACAGGTTTGACAACGTCTTCAAAWTTTTTTTGGAATGGCGCTAGATTGTTAAATTTGTCTTGTCACGTAATTGCTTAATACATTTGGTTTTACTATATGATTTGATAACGTTTTAAATGTGAGTTTTTGGGGGGATTTTGTAAGTTTGCCCTCGTGCAAAGCACTAAAAGCTCGGATTCCTATTGTGTTAAAACTTATTGTTTTAAAATAGGATTTTGTGATTTTGCAAATTTGTTCATTTTATTCTGTATTTGGTATTCCAAAACAAAAGCAATGCAAAACCAAACCAAAAATCCACGCTGATGTATCTATACTAAACTAGGTTTAMCCAAAAACTTATTTTTCTAACTATTTGTAAATTCATCTTTACTGTAGCTTGTTGCAGGAGAAAAATTTTGCATTGTGACTGTAGTTGGCACCTCAAGGTCTTGCCGCAATGATGACAAACACAAGGCTGCATCACTAGAAGTCTGCCCAGTAGACCAACTTGATGTAAGAGAAACAAAATAATGAGTGACAGCTGCCAGTAATTTTTGTATTTAATGAATTATGCATTTTTTATGTTAAAATTTGTTTTTACATGTAATACACRTACTTTCATGAATCAACTTCATATTGGAAACAAAACTCTTTCAGTTTCAACTCCCAATTCAAGAAAGCAAAACTCAATTGCCCTATTTCATTATGACGTCACATGTTGTTTACATCAGAAAATGATACTCAAAAACAGTAGAAATTTGGACCTTTTTATATTGTCTACTAAAGTAGAACATCATTGTGTATAAATGATTGTCCATGTACATTTTATTTGATATGCAGTCACTCTGATCCCTTCTGGTGACTATAATCCTTAGTGTTAAAACAATAGAATGCTTTGATATGACGTCATAATGAACTAGGACAATTCCACTTCAATGTTTTCAATGAATATACATGTAATAACAAAAACAAATCAATACATACAAATAGTGATTGGAAACTATAGCTACTGTATATT